TAGAAGACTATCGTGGTTATTAGTATTATTTGACAAAGCGATGGCTGTGACAAAGACCCATGGAACTGCGAAGACGACAACGGAAACCACCATATTATACATGTGACATCTGCATATGATCTTTCTTAGATCATGCCTTGCATTTAATTGTTGCTGAAGGGGAGACGCTGCCTTTTAATGGGCAACCTTCAACGACGAAAATACGACTGCATATCAGGCCATATATATGTGCAGCGTTCAAGGCTTGCCACGAAAGAAGAAACGAGCGATTAATTCATCTTAAGGCAAATCTTCGTTGGTAGAATGGAAGCTGCTTATCGATGCTAGCAAAACTACTGAAGACCGTACTCACCATACTTATGGTAATATATTTCTTGTTACACCGTCTGAACATCGAATGACACTTGCGGCCATGCAAAAATTCTCTCTTGATAAATCTGAGATGTCAAGGTTGGCACCGCAGCTGTGTAAACATAGACAGCAGTGTCAGACGCCATCGGGGCAGAGTGTACCAACGAATGACATGAATCACCAGTTATTTATTATCATCCTGCCTATATCATAAGTTTGAGTTTAGCATCTCTTAGCACAGAGCCTAAATGATTATGACGCACAGATGCAAAGAAGCATTTGCAGTCACGATGAGAAAATCTTACTTTTAGCAATCCCTAGTTCTCGGTCTCCAACAGTGTTTAGTTTCTCTTATATTCACGTTAAAACATTGATTGCTAACAGGCTTAAAATATTTTTGAGCTTTAAGACATTTACGGAAAATCCTTATCGGAAAACTCTGAAATTTTCAAGAAACATGTTTAAGGCAAAATACGATAACCTGAACATCAGAATAATACAGTAGCAGTTTACCTGTTGCCTGACGAACTTTAAGCGGCTGTTGAACGAACGGGCGAGAAAACTGAATCCATCTCTATTATCGCTGTTTTCGCGTTGCCATTCAATCGAAGCCCAGAAGCTGAGGTCTACAGGGGACGACACGTGTTTTACATGAACCAGGCGAAATTTATCAGTCGCTTTAAACTATGGCAGGCTCTTTCACACACACACTGCACCGTTTATCGTCAGCCACTGGCGTCCGTACAGACAGCAATTAGGAGCTGCGCTGATTGTCGTTGTCTCTTTGGTCAGGACATCGCTTATGCATGCATGGTCGTCGTCCCGGTTGTTGTCGAAACCGGCCGGTCTTTTTGGTGAGTTAATTACGCTTGACGCGCAACCCGCGGTCGCAGTTGAAGGAATGGCAAAAACCAGCTTTTTGTCAATAGCCACCTCCCGATGATGATAACAAATTAAACTAATGGCACTTAACATCGAATTCGGCCAACTTTTTTTCGAATACGAACTTTTGCACTTTATTGTCGTTTCAAGGTATTCCGAGTCAATTGGCGATGCAACACAATGGTGCACACAAAACCTGCATATTTGAATCAGTGGCAATTAGGGTACGACAAAAAATGTCAAGGGTGGTTTAAGTAAGGTTTGACAGGACAAAGTCGTCATCTTTGCAAGAGGTTTTCATGTGGGCTCTGTAGGCTGAAAAGGGTGAAAGTATTTAGCATGTAATTCAAGGTACACTTGAAGTATCCAATCTTCCCAGACAGAAATGTGTGTTACATAATTCAATGATTAGGTTGGCATCGAAGATGGTTGGAGCTGTTCCGTTTAGAAGCACTTGTCGTTGGAATAGCCTGATCGAACAAATGCTTTGTTTGAAATCTGATCGAGTCGTTCTTGGGAAATTTAGTAACAAAGAAACCATGGTAGATCTCATTCAAGGGTGATTTATATTTTACTTTGCATCCTCAAGATGCTGCTACTTCTAACTCAGTCTTATTGTAGCTTGATGTTGTAGGAACATTCACTGCATTGAGGTTATGATGTTTTCATTTGATTAACTCTCAAGACAACTGATGAGGACGGTGGGGAAACTTGGTAGGAGTCTATGCATCTTCAGACTCTATAATTATTAGCTCGAAAAACAGCAGTTATTTAATTATCACCAGTCCGACGCTTTGACCGATTGGTCATTCATTCAAGATACCAAACCGGTGGGATTATTGGACAGGTTAAGAAACTAAGTAAGATTAAATGTTACAGAACGAACTATGCGGGTTGTCTCATTTGCAGCAACTATAAAAAGAAACCTTCAATTGTATACTGAGAATAAGTGGCAACTGTGAAAGTGTCAGTAGACTGTTACAATGTAATTAATATGGAGCTTGTTTTCTCGCCTTTTTTGCCGACGATTCCAGTTGTCTTGATTTCATAGTTTTCTCAACTCTAAGACCCTTTTTGACTCTACATCGTCCACCCGTGCGGAATATCTTGGCAGATTGTTTCCACATTTTAAGAGACATATGCAGGGACCGCGTTTGATGCCGAAAATGGAGGAGAACTATCGAAATGATTCCCAGTCAACGGTGGAGTTCACCAGGGAGATGTGCTTTCGCCTTTGCTGTTCAACATTGCTTTCGACCCTATTCTTCAAAGCAGTGTTGACCCTGGCAGAGACGAACGTATCGTTTTTCAGGAAAGACGCAGTTCAAGATGTCTGGCTGAATACTTGCCGACCTGCAATACGCGGGTGATATTGTACGGGAGGCGGAGTCTGTCATATGACGACTTCCGTATGCGACACAGCTGCGAAAGCCAGCTTCTTCCTTGACGTCTGGAGATCTAAAGTTAGGAGGAATCCATCCGCACGGGTGAACAGTAAATGGAATATAGAGGTGAAGTGCTTGAGGAAATTGGTCAGTTTAACTATCTACGCTCTATCATCTCCAACGGTGGCACCATCCAATCAGAGTTAAATGATTCTAACTTCAGACGCCTTTTGAAACTTGTCCGATATTTGGGCGGAAAAGAAATGTTTCTTTTCACAAAAATCTACCTGTATCTTGTGTCTGTCAGGTCAATGTAATTGCACGGCATGTAAACAGTTGTTCTAATGAAGGAGCAAAAACACAAATACATAAAACTGGCTTTGTTCTACTTTGGACACAAGTAACTTTAACTCTCACTACACATGGAGATTGAGAAAATGAGGTTGGCTGTGTTATAGAAAGCGGCTGAGCATTTACCGTTTGCTTCAGCCCATGGGCATTTCGCGTGGGAGCCGAAACAAGGCAAACTATATCAAGAGACCAGCATACAGCTTGGACGAACAAGGTAGAGAAAGATCTGCTGTCGTGGAGATTGTTCATTCTACTACGCGGTCATCAGATTCTTGTAGCAAAATTGCTGTACAGCTGCGAATACAGCGGACATTACAAACCATGCACTTTCTACTCATGCAGACAGCTCAAGACGATTATCTGAACAGGTAACAACAACAATTTTTCATAACCAGAAATATAAAATCGTCTATTGGAACGAATGATGCGTTTTGGAAAGAGTTTCACTGTTTTCACGGATAGTTCAACCGAGATGACGCTGGCGTCTCATTCAGATGAGTACACAGAATGTCGCAGGTTGAAATTATGACGTCATCATTTCCTTTTGATATTCGTCAAGTATTTTAAGGAGTATGTGGAAACTGACCAAGAAACTATGCGGCGTGTTTCTCAGAAGGTCAAAGATTGCTCTATAAACGAGATTCTTTTTGATAAGGTCGAAAATGACCTTACATGGCCATAGCTGAAATGGCGGTGATTTTAGAACTGTAAGAAAGATTGGCATTCAAACGGTGCACTTTTCTTTCCACTTGTATAGATAGATATGGATTATTTCATAATAATCGTGAACGGATAACATTGCCATAATAAAGAAAATAATCGAACAGAGAAGAAGCTTCCAACTACCCTGGAATGTAGTGTTCCTCGACTTCCGAACAGCTTTCGACTCGGCACACCGTCAGTTTTTCTGGCGCGAAGATCATCGGACTACTGAAATGACGGTACGAAGGTACTGAAGGTGCCATCAGAGCGGAAGAGCATTGCTCGACTGGCTTAGCATAAACAACAGTGGAGTGCACCAAGAAGTGCATTCACCTCTACTGTCTTACATGGAGGTGGATTATGTGATGTGGAGGACCGTAGTCCCCAACAACAGCGAAGTGTTTACTATCAGACGACGGCTGAGCCGAAAATACTCAGCAGTACTCATGACAGATCTTAATTACGCTGATGACGCTCTACTGCTGAGCGACTCCGCCAATGGCTTACTGGCACTAACCCGAGAAGCGTGCAAGGCGGCCTCGACGGTACGCCCAAAAGTTGACCCCATCAAAACGAAGATCTTGCGAGCACCTGACTCGACCGATGACCCAAACATGTAATGGAGTGGAACGACTATCGAGGAGGTCGAACACCTCAAGTACCTTGTCCTTGTAATGGCAAAAGGTGAATGCTTCGATATGGAAGTAAAGCGGCGTTGAGAACTGGTATCTATGAACTTCGGGCGAATCCCTGAGATAAGTACGAATGAAAAGAGGTTGGAGACGACCAGCCTTAGAATGCTGTCTGAAGAGATGAACAACCGAAGTCTTTTGTGGTTTGACAAGACCATGCAGAGGGAAAATGAAGACTTATCCAAAACCATTCTTCTGTGGGAAGCATAGGATTGCTGCAGGCGCGTCGAAGACCAATATCGGAACCTAAAGCAGCTGCTAGAGGCGGACGTGCTTGCGACGAGGAACATGGCTATTGTCGCAACAATCAGCATCGCCTAAATCATGCTGGAAAGCCAAAGCGTCAGGCATCATTAATCTGGGTGCTCTGTCCTTCACCCTGGTACTTCAGATGACGATGACAACACAACGCAACGCAACGATCTGGGATGGTCATCGTTGAATCGAGGTCGGGCAGAGCTGATTCTTGGTAACAGAGCACGAAGGTCGATCGCTGAATGGCAGAAAATCCTTGGAAATGTGGATGTGATTCCAAACCCGCGCCAGAAGAGCGCGGCCAACGTTTGCCTTTATTTCGAAAAGTAAATGAAGTTCGCAGCTAATTGCGGATGTTCACATAAATGTATGTTCCCTGTTAGAAGGAGCACCCTCATAAGGACTCGTCAAATTTTGCTCTAATAACAAAACAGCTGACCGAAAGAAAGAAGGCCTTTTCGTTCTGAGACTGTGACAGGAGTGTCTGACTAATGAATGGGTGTGAAGTTCAGACACTAATACCAAAATGATAAGTCGTAGAAGCTAACATATAAGATTGGTCGATGTTGAAAACTCTAACAAAAAATCGAATACTTGAAGGAGAATCAAAGGAGGTGCAGACTAAGACACAAAATTGCATACCATCTGGAGATACAGTGACATTTATATTTTCCTAAGCATAGCTTAATTTTTCGATAATTGAAGGTAGGCAGTGATTAAATCATACGGACGACGCAATAAGACAAATATGACAGAGTGGAGTTATTTTACCATTGTGGTAAGAGTGGAAAATCGCTTGCACTGGAAACAGTGGATAAGCGAGACTGCTGTGAGGACGAGAATCTCACTCATTAGGAGTAACAAAAATTCTGATCGAGAATGATGGATTAAGTTGGAACCCATGGATACATACAAGTGAAGAAGCTGGTTCACAAAATGGTGGTGAAAGCACTGTGAAGTATAAGAAGAGGGAACGACCGAAAATCTTGAGAAAAGCTTCATCTAAGAGCGTCCTAGGTCTTTCATTAGAAGTTTCAACCTAAAACCGAAGTCCACTAACCTGAAGTTCCCTTGAATGTTGACGACACGTTGCTACAAGGCGAATCGCGTTTCTCAAAGCCACTGCTGACGATGTTCACTCTTGTAAAGGAACAAGTACACGAAGATGCATGAATTCCATTTGCTGCCGAAAATGGTCATTTCGACCGATCAGTGGTTGAACTTACGCTGACGGTGCAAAACGCGGTGACAGTGCATCCACACAGGTCCAGTGCACGTTGGATGGTGATTGGTGGTTCGGTGAGGGATCAAGGGATATTGAAGAAGATCGTGGCGAGGTCACTTTGTCGTGTGTCTGAGGTGCGTGAGTGCGAGAGGCGGACACGTGTGGTTGAAGTGGCAGTCACAAACAGTAGTTGATGTCGAGTGGCTGACGGAAGGACGAACGAAAGTATCAACAAGAGGAACGACCACTTAACAACACGCTTATACTTGAACTGTCACAATGAATGACAGGCTCGATTTGCTACCTCTTTGCGCGTCCATATGCACATGATGCCATGCACACGACGCCACCTGTCCATCGGCTGACGCGACGAGTCTACGAGCGGGGCCGCGGGCAAAAGGTGCACCACAACCGTGAACATCACAGACAGGTAGGCAGGAAGTGGAAGGGTGACTGCTGTAGCGACCAGAACCGGTTACCGCCGAGCTATAGTGGCTGCTTGGTCGTCGACTGAAAGACACGCTGTTCCATGAACAATACTCCACCACTAAGAGCAGTGATCATCTGGTCGTTGAACAAGCACGAACAAAAATACTGAGCAAGAATGAGCGTCAGCAGGGAGAAGAAGCACAGGCCGACGAAGACGTGTAGACAAGAATAGGTGAGCGTTTCGACCAAAACTTGTTTCTCAGTCGTTGCTCATTGACAATCACGAAAGTTGTCGTGCAACGTTACCGATCGACCGGCTCTAATGGACTGCCAAAACTTACCTTATTATTACGAGTTCAAATACTGAATACTGGATCGATCCTCCTAGGCGCTACGTTGGTTTGCCTCTTGCAAGCCGAGTGACGATAAGTTCATCAACCACTGTCCTGCACTAACGGTGTAGTGAATTATTGGTTCGGCATCGATAACTCACGCAAAATGTCAAGTAACACCGTCATTACAGTCGTTCGGTCAACTTCAGTCAGTGGAGCAGCCGGATATTTTGTAGCGTAGCCACGAATCACCTAATAAAAAAACGACGAACTATAATATAAACACAGAAATAACCTCGGCATTATGAGTTAATAGTAAACTGCTTGTTTTGGATACCGTTGTAAAAATAAATTGAGAGAACGGACATTAGAATAATATAAATGAGGAGCCATTTCGTTGCGATCCATTTTTTTTTATTGAATTGGAGTCCGAAAGTAAATGTGATCGCGGGACGGACATCTGATTCGCGGGTTAGATTTCTGTCAAGCCCTGATGACCTCCGTCTATGACTCCTGATCATCCATGACGCATAAACTCGATGAGTTCGAGGTTTGTTACGCGAAATACCTTAGCATGGGAGGCAGTGACTTAACGGAAAGCATTCGGTATCCAACTTTTGAGGTTTCGATTTCTAGCTCCAAAAAAATGTTTAACTTCGAATTTTCTTGAGCAAAGAATTCGGCTCACGTTGCTCCAGGGCAACCAAAGGAGCAGCGGTAGCAAGCCGTTGAACTATGTGGCTGCATGGTAGTTTCACATGATCAAACCAGAATATGTGACATGAACTCACTCCAATGCTTCGTGCTGCATGCTGCATTTCGTCTAAACCCAACTGATGGCCAATTGCTCAGAGCGATAATCAGTACAAGGTGTAGACCTGAAGAAAAACCCGCAGTTTTATTGAATCAGGGAAAGAAAATGAAGTGTTTTATTCTAAGGGAATGTAACCTATAATAGATGTAAATTACAATGAAAAATATGAAACGCACTGTTAGCCCACTGTTATAACACATCCAGGAAAAATTGGCTTTGTAAATCACAAATCTTCAGCAATATCGAGCATCCTACCTCGCCGGTCTTCAAGGATAAAGCTACTTGTACTTTTTGGTTCATGGCGAGTCTACCTGCAGCATTTGGATGTTCTAAGTCTATGGCTTATGCACAAATTATGACAAATGTCGTAATCTTGGTAGCAGACCGTATTCTAGAAATACGCGCGGTCATGAAAGCTTGGCATCAGCTCTGAGAAAATGTGTGGTAGACTCTGAAAGACAGTGGAAGAATGTGTGGCAGTGGTAAATCTTCGTGTACGTTTAAGCAACCTGTTTAACAGAAGTTCAACGTACCTTGAAAGTCCTACTACGTTTACGGCATGACAATATGCTTTAGAAACATTCTTGGTTTTGACCCTATGAACATGGGAATAAAATATTGTTTTCATGTTTTGATAGCGGCTTCCTTAAAATTCATCTTTTTACATAATCGGCTGCTTCCTTCGTACGCTGATTGAGAAATTTTCATAAAATACTCCGAATATTTTTTCTGGAGTCAGAGAGACCATACCGTCGTTGTAACTTGAGCATCCTTTTCTGAACCAGGTTTTCTCCATAGCGCGAAGAGGTCGTTCAAAGGTCGTTCAATCCATTCTTTCCCTCGCCTGTTCCTGTCCTTCAGGAATCAAGTTATATATTCATAAATGAGAAACCATGCACCTTTCCATGTACTGACTCATAAATTTTACCTGGCATCTCCGCTCTCACTGAGATAAAGTCTCTGATGTGCATTTTATA